GCATCCGCGACACGGTCGCGTGAGTACTGCATAGCGATCTTTAGCTAGAACGATTTAACGATGATAATTGAATCACTTCCAAATTTCCTCTGCGCTATCAACTTCCTACAAGCTCCTTTCGCCTCTCGGTGGAATCACGAGGCGAACGACTTCATAGCTCAGCCGGCGCCGCGTGGGGGTACTCGCGTCTGCTCGATCGCCAAAGGATTGGAGGCTGAAGTACGAGAGTACTAAGGCCCAACTTCGCGCCTGCCGATGATGGCGGGAGGCGAAGAAATACATGTTTGCATATGTGCATGAAGAAAAGCAGAATCAAGAATTGTATTAGCTCGTCCGATGCTATCAAGTCCGTCGAAGTCCAATTACGAAGAGACGCGGGCTGCCCAGCGATCACGCCGAAGGCCTCTAGTCGACCTTGGTCTCGTCATGGACTGGCGCCTGGGTGGCTCCGGGAGGCGGCGAGAGTCCATGCGTCCTCTGAGAGTTCGGTTGACGGAGTCGCGGGTCTGGATCGACCACAAATGGATAGCTGGGAGCCCAGACCGGGTTCTTCATGAACGCGTTCGCGACGTCCATGATCTCGATGGCGGCTTCGTTGACGGTGGCGACGTGAAATGTTGCAGTTGGTACGCCCGGATGCCCTTCGTCAAAAGCTCGTCGGCCGGCATCACAGGAGAGCACCTGCGGCTGCCGTCGGTCCTCACCGACGGGACTTCAGGCCACGACTGCGACCCCTCTTGGGTCAAGTATGAGATGACTGCGGGTGCGCCGTGGTGCTTCTCCATCAATGTCAAGGACACACAAGTGCGGAGAGCAGCCGGCCAGAACAAATGAGGATAACGCAAGAAGTGCACTGGCCTGGACCGCCGCGTCGGTACAAGCGATGCACGCAGCTCCATGGCGTGACGATCGATCAACGCCTGGATGTACGCCGGCGTGTACAGCTGATCAGTAACGGGATCCCGGGTCTGTTCTGTGGCCTGAAACAGAGCCGCAGCCGATTCCTGTGCCCATCGCTACGCCGCCGGACGCAACGCCCGGGCCCTGAGGACTGCCTATTCTTGTTCCAAGCCGGCATGACAGTGCGTGACACCAAGGTCCCGCTGCATGGACGTCCGAGCGGCGATCTCAACTTGGCGCTCCAAGAAGTCGTTCTTCGGGAGCCGCATTTGGACTGGGCCTCGCTTTGCCGCAACATGTCCGCCAGGCAGTCGCACTCAACGCTCACGGCCTCCAAGGCGTCTGGCGAAACTCCAGCGTCCGTCGAGACCGAGAAACTGTCCACTGATGCGTCCTCCTCCGCCGAAGGCGCGGCAACGGCAGGGTTCGACATGGCGTCTTCACCTTCCGGCTCCGCGATGACCTCCGGTGTCTTGTCGGTTGCGGTGCTCACGTTGGTTTCCTCGTCTGGGACGATTGAACAGTTGGAGATTCTGTTCGTTTGACAGGCGAATTTCTCAAAAGCGTGCGACGAGGTGGTTTTCGATTGGTCCGAACCCGGAGTTTATTTCCGAAACTCCGGGTTCGGACCAATCGAAAACCACCTCGTCGCACGCTTTTGAGCAATTCGCCTGTCAAACGAACAGAATGTCGCGGTGCGCTATCGACGGGGTGCCGAAGACCCGAAGAGCGTGTGTCCGGGATCTTTAGTGGGTGAGTCTACAAGTATGCGGTAGCGACACCAAGTCTCATCACCCAGTGTTGACGACCACACTGTCGACATGGGGCTCTCACGTGTCTGGATCCCTGAAGACCAACGGCCAGAGGATGAGGTGGCAGGGATTGTGGACACTTCCTGAGGATGAAGCTGAAGAGGTCGAACCAGCCCCCCCCCCGTCGAGGGATGGCTGTGCACTGACTGTTTGCTTTAGACGACGATAGTACTTAACTTGACTTTACATTCTGCCTGAGAATACAGACTCCTGTTTTTGTTCTTTAACTCGCGCTTGCCTTCGCCGCACGTACCAAGATCGTTTTCACGGAAACCCCGTGACAGAAGTACCGCTCCATGTCAGCCCATTCTTTTGACCACTGTCCCTACTACAAGGAACCGCACAACGACGCTTCCCTGGCCAGCTGTGGCTGTGGTAGACGTCAGCAGTCGTTTCGTAACCAGCGAGGTCCGCCACTCTCCATGTTCACCCGCACGTCTTGTTTCGGAATGATTTGGCTCACAACCAACTCGCCCATGTGCAGGACTCCACCTCCGCATGCCTCTTGGGGCCCC